GTCGGGGGCAGTGGGGGCGGCGCAGGCGGGCGCAAAGGCCGCCCCGCCACAGGTCAAGATGGATGGTGGGTCCCTGGGCGTCAGCCGTGTTGAGTTGTGCTTTTTGTGTTGCTGCGCCCTGTATGTCCCTGCTTATCGGGCGTTTTCGGGCAGGCGTTTTCGGGCAGGCAGGGGATTCAGGCGCAAGGGGCAGGGGCACACGCCGGGACCCGGGCTGCTGAGTCATGCAGCGCGACGGGAAGCTCAGCGAGCCGGGCGGGGCCCCGACGCTCGGCGCGCCTTTCCCTGCCGAGCAGGCCCGCCGAGCCCCTTCAATCCGCCGCCTGGGCCGCCTCGCGCACTCCCGTCCAATCTGATTTCAATCTCAGTCGCCCTCGCGCGCTCCCGGCCGATCCTATCGCAATCCCAACCACTTTCGTGATCCGCAGGCGGCGTGGTGGCTGTGCAGGTGGTTTCTGAATCAGAGTCGGATCCTGAAGAAGAGGGCGACCTCGTCTCACGCGGCCACAGGCGCGCCGCGCCGCGCCGCGCCGCGCCGCGCCGCACCGCTTGCTCGCGCCAGAGGCGCCGCGCACGCGCGCGATCCGAGCCCCAGCCAGGGCTGCGCTGCGTGCTCGCGGCGCAGCCCTTGCTGTTGCGCGAAGCGACTGGGCCGCCCTCACCCGCCCCCTCCCCAACACACACACACACACACACACACACACACACACACAAAAACACAAACACAAACACACTCAACAGTACCTCTCATCGTGCCGCTCAACCCCATAACCACCACAACCGCTGCCGCCGCAACCGCCAGGCTGGAGGCGGCCACTGGCCCCGCCTCTGCTTACCTCAAGCCGTACCAGCTGGTGGGCATCAACTTCCTGCTCCTGCTCTACAGGCAGAAGGTGGGGGCCCGGGTGCCTACATCCCATGTGTGTCGTAAAACTGCCGCCCACGCGTTGTGTGAGACCAGGCGCCTGCATGCCATGTGTGTCGTGAGTGCGTGCGTGTATGTGTGAAGGTGTGCGTGTGTTGGTAGGTGTGTCTGCGTGCGTGCCTGAATATTTTGAGCCAGCAGACGGGGTCGTAAGCCACCGGGCTGGGGGCATCATGCGGCCGCTGGTGCTCATGCAAGGTTGTTGGGTGTCATAGGCCGGTGTGTTTGTGGCGCCCTAGTGCGGGAGTGGCTGCCGAATGTCCCCGCCGCCGCTGTGCAGATAGGGCCATTCGCAAGGCGGGGGCAGGGGGGTCAGGTTTGTCAAGTTCCAGGGATTGGGTCCCTGGGACCGGAGCAAAGCTGGCCGGCTGAGCGCAGCAGCTGGCACAACAAGCCCCCTCAGCCTGACGGAAGCCCCGTTCCTCGCCCCCGCCTGTGACGCCACGATGACATCACCTCCAGGTCGGCGGCGCGATCCTGGCGGACGAGATGGGGCTGGGCAAGACGGCGCAGGCCATCTGCTTCTTGGGGGTGCTGTCGGACTGGGAAAATGACAGGTAGGGGTGGCTGGGGCCCGCTAGGTGGGCGCTCCAGGGTGTGTGTGGGTGTGTCGAGAGCGCCTTGGGAGTGTTGCTGAAAGCGGGCGCATGGGTGCTGAGTTCAGTTTGTGGCCTCGAGAGCCTCAAACCCGGGGTGCTTGTCAGCACGTCGTCGTGCGCTGCGGTCCAAGCCTGCTTGACACCGCCCACAGCAGGGACGCGCGGCGGCTGTCTGTGCAGCTCCGGATCGGCCCGCCTCCTTAGTGTCTCCCTGCTTTGCCCCCCTCCCCCTTCCGCACCCGTCGCCCGCCTCATTTTCCCC